AAGCCCCAGTACTGGAAAAAAAAAAAAAAAGAAAAGGGGGGGGGGGGGGGGAAAGGTTTTAAAGTGATTTATTTGGTAATTGTAAAATGGCTTGGTTTGAGCAGAGGGATTAGATTTAACCTCTTGGGCAGTCCCCTTCTCATTCTCTGCCTCCTGTTCCTGGGCGAGAGTCCTGGTGAGCTTCTGTCTACTTCCTGCTTTGCCCTTCTTTTATTTTTGCGGAACTGGGGTTCGAACTCAGGACCTTGTGCTTTCGAGGCAGGCCCAGTGCCACTGAGCTAAATCTCCAGCCCCCTTTTCCTTTTTTGTTTTTTGTTTTTTGTTTTGTTGAGACAGTCTTGCTAGTCCACGCTGGCTTCAAACTCCAAGGTCCTCCTTCCTTGGCCTTCTGAGTGCTGGGATTACAATCTTGGCTTTTTCAAGGAAAGCATCCCTGGTGCTACCCAGCCTCACTAACCAGGCCCCTGTGGCAGGAACCCCTCATGCTCAGCACCCTGAGCTAGTTCTCTGTAACATGGGCCTGATGCATACCTGCTGCTCACCAGCTGTATCATAGTAGGCAAGTTTCTGCCCTGAGCCTTTCCTCTGCTTTATAAAACACTAATATTGTACCTAAGCTACTTGGGAGGGTAAAATAAGGACTTGAGGTATCTAGGAAACTTAAGGACTCAAAATGCAACTGCTAATTGTTGGTATCACCACGTGGATTTATGTGCCATGAGGTAGGCCTCGTTTTAATTTTGTAGACAAGGACAGTGAGGCCTAGGCCCATAAGTGATATGCTTGAAGTTACCACTTTTTTTCCCCCTATGTAGTTCAGGTGGTCTTGAACTCATTGTGTAACCCAGGCTGGCCTTCTCCTGCCTTGGTTTCCTTAGTACTGGGATTACAGGTGTGCCCCCACAACATCTGGTTGTCTTGTCATAATTTTCTCCCTGTTGGATCTGTTCCAAAGACCATCCTTCATATCTTGACCCACTGATACTTAACGGTAGCATCTCCAGTCTCAAACTATTTGTGCATGAACCATATATATGCAAGTTTTGGGGGTCAGGGATGAGACAAGGTTTGAGACATCCTGGTAGGAACCATAGTAGGTTTGAGGCCTGAGACCTTTGTGTAAGGAAATGGAAGCTGCATAAGAGGCACAAATAACGAGAAGCATATGGCTGCTTCCTGGAACCTTGAGTCCTCTGTAAGATGAGGACAGGGCTGAAAGAGAAATCCCACTCTGCAGATATCCCAGGAGTCTGCAGTCTGGCCAGAGGAGCACTCAGAATGAAATGGGAATGGTGACTGCCGCCAAGGAGAAAAGATCCACAGGACCTGAGAAGCCTGGTAGAGAAGGAAAGGGAACAGCCTTGGCTTGGGCAGTCACCTGGAGGGGCACATTTCATGAGATATTAGGATTTGGTGATAGTCCAGGCGCTGACCTCAAGGCTTTTAAGTTGATCCTCTTTCCTTCTCTCTAAGGCTGTCCACACCTCTTTTCTTTGGGTCGGGGAGTGAGGTTGAAACATTTATCTCATGGTAGCTGTGTACTATGGTACAAGGAGCAATCATGGCTCCAATAATTTCCCTCTAGATTCTAACGATGTTCTAGAAATAGATTTGTCAGTTTGGTCCTCCACACATGGCAGGAGGGAAGTGGATGGAAAAAGCATTGTGGTCCACCCTTCTGTCACTTGTAGATTTTTTGTTAAGCACAGCTCTTATCTACCAGTTCCTCAGGTTAAAACTATAAGCAGATCTTCATCCTTCACGGAATCACTGCCGTGAATAATGTTCCTGCCAAGTTGGATGTAAAAGTCCCTGAACATCACTCAGCTTCTCTTCATATTTAATACCTCCCAGACCATGTCGCCCCTGGCCCTGAGAGTATGGATTTTGCCAGGCTACCAAAGAATGGATGGGCCTTCAAGTCAGTGTAGTGTTGAAGGTCTTCATAATCCTGCATGAATTTCAAATAAGACAGACTCCCTTCTACTCAGAACACTTCATGATCTTTCCCACAAGACCCTGCTGGACCCTTTTGGGTTGACAGTGATGAAAGTGCACTCATTGCTGGTCATGGTCCTCTCCAGCTGCTTGGGCTTTAGCTCACATTCATTTCTTCACAGTCTCCTGCTCTTGCTACTGATCTAGCCATATGCATAGGCTGTACAGTCCCTAGTCCTTGACCTGGGCCTGGGCAAATGTGTCTGTTTCAAAGCAAAGGTCATATCCATGGTGCTGCAACTTGGGATAGCCTGTTCCTAGTATTCAGCTCAGAAATGACTTTGGCTAGGATATCCCTAACTCCTTGGAATGGATGGGTGGCACTGAACTGGGGGTGTGGGCAAGTGCAGTTGAGATAACTCTATCTTGTAATGGGGCCAGTGCCCAAGTTCCCCTGATAACATTCTGTGTCAAGGCGAGCAGGACCAGATCAATAGGGAAGTGCCAAGAAGTTTGGGGTATGTGTAGTGGTGGGAGTGTTGGTGGGGAGTATTGGTGAAGAGATTCATATGGGAAGTTACAGGGATAGCAGATTGGCATATCATACATGACTAGGAGTTGGAGAGAGATTGGGGCTGATGATAAAGATTTGGTAGTTAAAGCTAAGAGGGCCAGGTAGAGCCTGCAAGAGCCTGGCAGGTGGGCAAAAATAGTAACACTAGCTAATGTACTTAGAACTGCCATGTGCCAGGCTCTGTCCTCAGCACTTATCAAAGACTAGCTCATCGGTTCTCAGTGGGAAGAAGAAGAGAATACACAAAAGGAGAAAGACAGAAAGGAAAACTGTAGGGTGAACTGTGGTGGTGGTGAGGGGTATGAGTGCGTCAGCCATGTGCATGCACATACACATTCAGCTATGTCTGTGTTCTGTCTATATATGTTCCTTGTGATCTGGCTACAGTGGTCCAAGGCATACGTAATCAGGTCTGCTCAGGGGCTTTTGTTCTTTTGTTCTTTCTTTTTTCTTTTTTTGGTACCAGGGATTGAACTCGGGACTTTGCTTTCAAGTCAGGTAGCAGAACCATCATTGTCTTTTTTGAACCCTGAAGTTAATTTAACTTTCTTTTATCAGAATCATTAAGTAGTGTGTTCTGTCCTCAACCTAGCTAAAGAAAGGTGCTAAATAGGGTGCATCTGTGGAAAGGGGTTTGTGACTTCAGTATCTGGAGATTTTCAGGAAAACCTAGGAAACTATTTTTCACCAGTATTAGTCTGTAGCATCCAATTAGCGAGACCCTGTTTCAAAACAAAAAATTTGAAAAGGTTTGGGTACTGTACATAGCTCAAGGTGAAGGCCCTGGGTTCAATTCCCAGGAGAGGGGGAGAGGGAGGAGAAAGGAGAGAGGAAAGGAAAGGAAGGAAGGAAGAAAGAAACAAAGGAAAGAGAAACAAGGAAAGAAAGGAAAGAGAAAGAAGAAAGGAAAGAAAGGAAGGAAGAAAGGGAAAAAGAAAGAAAGAAAAAGAAAAGAAAGAGCAAGCCAGCACCAGACAGATACAGGGCAAAGGTAGCTTTTGCTTTTTTTTTTTTAACCCACCCAAATCAATAACTTAAATAAACAGCCTTAACAGCCTATCCATTAGGGATTGTGAATTTACCTCCTGAGTCAGTTAACAACTGATAAGTGGAAGCAGTAAACAAACTTCTTGGTATCAGTTTTAGTTTTCATTACATTCATAAGAAAGGCGCTGCCACCCCAAACATGAAGGTCACACAAGGTTGCTTCACTTGCTCTTCTCTCAGGTCCTGGGCCTCTCAGTGGTAGGACAGGTTGTCACATAGGGCCCTGTCATGTGAGACATGCACACCTCCAGCCCCCTAACCCTGGCCCTACTCTTCAAACCTTCCCAGACTGGGGACCCTATTCCTACCTTCTCTAAGATCGTGGTCTTTCACAGTATCTTCCCTTACATCCCTTCCTATCCTCTATGTGGATGTGGACAAGCACGGATCTTTGGTAGCTAAGTAAATCCTTCCCTTAGCCCTATTTTCCCTTTTTAAATTACTTTAAAATTTATTATTATTCTGAGCTGCACTTAAAAAATTTATTATTATTAATTAGTATTTTTTGGCAGTACTGAGGATTGAACTCACACAGGCCAGGTAAACACTCTACTATTGTGCTATAACCCCAGCCCTTTTATTTTATTTATTTTTTTATTTATTTCTTGGTACCGGGGATCAAACTCAGGTCCTTGTGCTTGCGCAGCAGGTGGCAAAACCACTGAGCTAAATCCCTGGCCCTCCCAGCCCTTTTATTTTAAAACAGAGTTTTGCTAAGTTACCCGGGCTGACTTTGAACTTGCAACCCTCTTGCCTCAGCCTCTGGAGTAACTGAGATTACAAGGATGTGCCACACCATGCCTGACTGTTTTGCTTTTTTATTTACTTATTTTGTGATATTGGGGACCAAACCTAGGCCCCCTAGACAAGGGATTATGCTAGACAAGGGTTCTACCACTGACCTACACCCTCAGACCTCTGTTGTCCCTTTTTAGCAGGTGTCCTTCCCTTCCCATCTTCCGAGTTTTAGGCACTGAACTCATCATCTCTGTTCCAAGTACCCCATTCCCTTAGCCTCTGCTAGTCTGTTGAAACTGCCCCATTTGTTTGCTCTGCAAATATTTACTCAATGCCAATACCTAGGTATTGTTATTATGCAGCTATGTTTCAGACAGTAGCCTAAGCATTTTTTACTAGCATTACCTCAATGATTCCTCACAACAGCCTTATGAGATAGGGACTTTTATTATTATAGACCTTTGCAGTGGGGATCCGTGAGGTTGGAGAAGTGAAGAAACCTGTCTATGGTTACAGGAAGAAGCTCTAAAGGAAGGAGCCAGGCAGTCTGGCTCCAGAGTCCACATTTTATGGCCACACAACACAGTACTGAAGCCTGTGGGTTTTCTTTTCAAAATGTCTCTGTTGTCTTTTCCTCTCTCTTCCCAGCCAGGCCTTTATTGCCTGCTTCCTGGATGCTGTATCAGCCAGCCATGGATCTGCCTGCCCATAAATGTTCCCCCTCAACCCTAGTGCATTCCCCAACACCATGTGGCCTGACAATCTGCCTGAAACATCCTCTTCATCTTGTCATTCCTCTGCCATCAAAGAATATATAATCTCTTTGGGAAGAAGACATGCACATATGAGCCCCTGAGATAATTCTATAATGATAATAAATAAAATGAAGAGGGAAAACAAAATGAACTCAAAGGTCATTTCTTGTGAAAAAAAACTGCACCATTTTCTCAGTACAAATTATTGACAGGAGTGGACCAGGCAGAAAAGTTGAATTTCAGCTGAGCATGGAAATTGAATTAGAAGAGGATAGGTTTTCTAATAGGAAATGGGGGTCTAAAGATCTGTGGCCCCAGGCTGCCCTCCTTGTACACCCTACCTTTTGTGATATTCCTCCTGCCCCTACTCCACAGCTTCCAACCCTGAGCTGCTTTCCAGATCTGGTTCAAAGGTAACTTCCACCCCTTCTCCTTTCTTCCTCCTGCAGCACTAGGGATTAAGCCCAGGGCTTTTGTACTAAGCTACATCTCCAGCCCTTTTTAGCTTTTATTTTGAGACTGGGTCTCACAGTAAATTGCTAATTTGCCCAGGCTGGCCTTGGACTTGCCTTCCTGAGTGCTAAGATTACAGGTACATGCCACAGTGCAAGGCTTCATTTTCTCCTTGAATCTCTTCTAGACTGTTTCTTCCTTTAAGTTTTCTTTAACATTTACCTGTGCAACTGGAGTGCCTGGTAAGACTCTGGTATGACCTTCAGAGGAAACAGGTTTGTGCTTTTTTTTTTTGGTACCGGGGATTGAACTCGGGACCTTTCGCTTGCGAGGCAGGCGCTGGAACCACTGAGCTAAATCGCCGGCCCAGGTTTGTGCTTTTTAAGAAACAGATTAGGGGGTTGATGCACTCCTGTAAAGCATCTACTCAGGAGGCTGAGGCAGGAGAATCCCATGTTCAAAGCCAGCCTGGGCAATTTAGCGAAGACCTTGTCTCTAAATTAATTAATTAATTAATTAAGGTCTAGGGATATAGCTCAAAGGTAGAGTATTTGCTTAGAATGTGGGAGACCCTGGGTACATGTCTCAGCACAAACACATAAAAAAACCCCAACAACTGCATAAAACATCCACAAAATATAATATATTAAAGAAGTCATTAAGAGGCAGCGTCAACAAAAGACTCAAAGACTCCGAGTAGTGACCTTAATGCAATAGCTTTCGGAGCTTTCAGGAACAATGTTTTATTATTTGCTTTCCATAAAATATCTAATCTTCACACCATTCTTTCAGGTGGGCTCTATACTTAACCCTTTTGCAGATGAATCGAGATTGCTGAGCTTATGTATCCTGTCCCAGATTGCACAGCTAGCAATGGAAGGCTGCTGCAGAGCCCTGGTTCTTGTCTCTTATGTCTTCTGGGAAACACTGTTCTATGCAGGCCATTTGTTCTCCTTGCAGTTATGGATGGAAACACTGTACAGGAGAGTTTTTCCCTTTTGCCTGCATCAGCTTTTGTGGTGTTCAGATGGAGTGCACCTCCAAGTGGAAACCTCTCTGGATTTCCATCCTAAATGAGGCAGTAGCACAAGACTGCTGAAGCCCGAGCTCTCCCAGGGCTGACATTCTGTGATTACTGAGCATTGGTGGAAAAAGGGGGAGCTAATTGAGTGAGTTAGTAATTTGGTTGCCAAGGTAACACTTTCCTGATTGGAAGAAAGGGATCACAGGGTTCAACACAGACTTTGCTGGATAGGAAAGTGGTTTCTGATCTTCCCTCCATGTTTCTGCTTCTGAGCTGGAAAAAGAAAGAGAAATAATAATAATAATAATAATAATAATAATTTTAAAAGGATAAAAATTGAATCCAAATGTTGTAAAATTTATGCCTAATTTAGAATGAAATTTTGGGATGGCAGACTCTTGAGTCCTCTATAAGGTGTGGCATTCTTTTCTCCAAATCACTTGTTATTTGCCAATTGATCTATTTGTTTATCTATTTATCGGTGCCAGGAATTGAACTCAGGGACTCATGCTTGCCAGGCATATTTTGTTCTTGCCAAGCTTATTTCTGTTTTCTTTTTAAATTATTTTTTTTCCCAGTACCGGGAATCAAACTCAGGACCTTGTGCTTGTCAGCCAGGCACAGACAGTGCTGCTGAGCTACATCCCTGGCCCTCTGTTTATTTTTATTTTATTTAATTGGTAGCTCTGGTCTTTTATCTCACCCAGACCTTTTCTTTCTTTTTTTTTTTTTTTTTTTGGCCTGCTGTCTTCATTTTATGAGAAAATGGTTACAGCATACCTGGCATTTCCTAGCCCAGTCTAGGCACCTAGGGCAGAGTTTTCCAGGATCACCAATTTGGGCAAATGCAAAGGTGTCATTCACATTATAGTCTACATGCAGAGTTGTGCAATGAACAGTGTTGGACAATGTCCTAAGCCAGTTGTGGTGGCACAGAGCCTGTAATCCCAGCAGTCTGGAGGCTGAAGCAGGAGGATCACTGAATCAGTCTGGAGTTGAAGCCCAGACTGAACTGCATCCTGAGACCTTGTCTGTCAAAGAAAGAAAGAAAAAGAAAGAAAAAAGAAAGAAAGAAAACAAAAGAAGGGAGCCCATGGACCTGGATTCTGGACTCTGCTAGAGCTCTGACTTCATAAATGACTGACTAGTCAGTCACTTTGCCCTGCACAATTTTTCCACTTATAAAATGGTCCAATATGGCTGGGGTAGTCGGGTTCAGTGTAGAATACTTGCTTAGCATGCATGAGGCCCTCATTTTGATCCCCAGTAAACACACACACACACACACACACACACACACACACACACAGAGCCTATTAATTTTTTAAAAACCATTTATGTAAAGTCTGATTTATGCCAAGAAAAGGATCTTGGAATGAACAGTAAAACTTGCAGAAATGTTTAAAAAGATGAATAGCTATAGGATTAGAGTGAGTTTCAAGTGCCTTATAACTAGTAGCTATTGGTTTTTTGCAGTTTTCCTTTTTCAAGAGGACGGTACTGCACTGCACGAGCCCTAAGGTTGAGTCTAGCCTTGGCATTCTTATTGTTATCTATCTGAAGCCAGCACAGTCAGTGCAGTGGCACTGAATCATGGCCAGTTGGGGGTGGAGAGACCTTGGAGACCCTTCCACAGTTGAGTATCCTGGCTGAGAAGCCCAGGACTACTCCTATGCCAGGGAAGTCAGCTCCTGACCATTTTTCTCAGAACCTCAGCCCCTGGAGCTAGAAGCCCATTACCCTGCTGGAGGCCTCTTCTTTTATTTTTATTTTTTTGGTACCGGGGATCAAACTCGGGACCTTCTGCTTTCGAGGCAGGAGGCAGAACCACTGAGCTAAATCCCCAGCTGCAGGCCCCTTCTTCATCCTATATTAGAGCCTTTGTAATCACCCTTCCCTTGGTGGGAAAGCCTGGACTGAGCTGCTCACAGCCATTTCTGGGCAGGTGATGGGAAATGGCTGGCTTAGTGTGTTCTGGAGGTACTCCTCAGAGACCGTCAGCATCTATGTATTTGAGACATCGAGGGAAAAAGGGAGTTAGATGATCAGGACTCGAAATCATAGAGCATTCATTTCAGAAGGCAATTTTGGGATCATGGTTCACCCCATTTCATGAGAAATTGAGGACCTAGTCACTTAGCTACTCAGGGGCAGTTGGGGAAAAGGCAGGGACTAATACTGTTCATCTAGGTGCCCACCAGTCATCATGCACCCTTTGTCTCATCACCTCTGTTGTTACCCCTGTGAGCTTAAGCAACTTGTCCAAGATTCCTTCTCCATCTAATAAGTTGATTTGAGCACTGGGTACCCTTTCTGTTACCCAGCCTAGCTCTTTCCATCAGAGAACAGACTGAAGTAACAGTACTGAGGAGTAGAGATGTGCTGTTGTGTTCTTGCTGGGACAGAATAGTAGTAAATGTGCCAAAGGCAAAGAGGGAGGAGTCCTCTAATAAACTCCCAGTCACCTTTCCCACCACCAGGCCTGCATCTCAAACAGCCCTTTGACCAATTGTCCATTTAATGGCCACAGTAGAGAGGGAAAAAGTGCTAAGCCTACTGGTCTGCAGCAGCAGACAAATCTGATCTTTTGCTAATAGAGGCAGCTTCATACCCAATGCCATCTCTGACTAGTAATCCAAAAGCCTTGGCGGTTTTGGTGAATGGGATTGGTCCAAAACCTGACCTCACTCTCATTTAATTTCATGCCAGCACCGATACACACCCAGCTGGGCAGACCTCGTCTAACTAGTGAGCTGCTCACACAAAGGCGCTCTAATTACCATCCGCAGACCAGGCTGACAGGGATTTCAAGAGTTTTCATGTTTATGGAGATCAGAGAAATGTGTTCTGTACATATTTCCCACTGGTAGCAAGTACAAAACAAACAAAAAACCCAACACATTTATTTCAAAACAAGTATTTCAGTTAAGTTAAAATCCTATAATCAGGATAGCCACAATTCCAGACACTCCGGTGCGAAGTGTAGATATGTCAATAACCACATCTGGATGCTGAACAAGCCACTGACTATAAAACTAAACAACAAAACGGTCTTAGCACCCTCAGAGTGAGTGAACAGTGTTCCAAGCACTTCACCGCATTCACAATGGCAAAGCCTGCACTTTCTCCATTTGGAGGGTCACATTTTCTACTCGGTTTCCTTCACTTACAAAGGCGAGCTGGCACGGCTGGGGGAGGGGCTGACGGAGGAAATCAACTCCGTCTATCCAGGGAATTGCAGCTGTTATTGCAAACGGCCCGGGAGAGCCCAGTATAAGCTGCTGTGAGTGGATGTGGGTCCCTGGAGTGACCGTCACGTGGCACCTCCATACCCCCAGACCCCGCCTGGCCCCCGGAATCGCCAGCGCCCACCCGCTTGAGTAGGGCAGCAGAGCTGAGAGGGACCTGGGCCACATCTCTGCACATTCTCAGTGAAAGCCTGGAGGTTGGCCAGGGGCGGAGGCACCCGCGGGAAGCACAAGCGCTGGTCACGTCTCGTCTCCCCACTCAAGGTGGCAGCAGCGCGCGCGTCCTCAAGAGACTCCAGCATTTACAGGACGGGCTTTTCTCCAGGCACCAGCACACCGGGTTAGGGTCCCTAATGCAACCCACAGTGCGCACCTAGGAAAAGGTGACCTTGAACACGAGAAGGGGCGGGTGGGCTGCGGAAACAGACTTTGGAAAGGATGGAGGGTTCACTCCAGGCCTCACGAGCCGGCACCCCTCGCAGCCGCCTCCCACCCTCCCCATGTTGTGCTGCTGTCCCTCCCAGTACTCTGAAAACCGCAATCAGTTACAAACACAGGGCAGGGAAAAAGGTTACTCCTATTTAACCCCAGGAGAGTACTTTTCGTAGTACCGCATGTCCTATATTAAAAACTAACATCCCCGGGCCGGGGATTTAGCTCAGTGGTTCCGTTGCCTGCCTTGCAAGCGCAAGGACCCGAGTTCAATCCCCGGTACCAAAAAAAAAAAAAAAATTAACATCCCCAAAGCCTGGAGGTGGGTTTTTAAAGTGTCGCAAATTTTCAAGTCTGGAAGTTGGGGTGCTCCCTGAAATTATCGTCTGCTCATATTCCCCTCTCCCAAATGGATCAGGAACCAGCCTGAACAGGTAAAGCAAGTAACAGGGACCATCCTCCGTTCTGACTCTTGGCGATCTTGAATAGCTTGGACCGTGGCCACGTGGTCACCGGGCTGGCGCGGAGAGGCTGCGCGGCCAGGTCGGGTCACGCCAAATAAGGAGTCTTACTGACTGTGAGCTTGGAGTGCGCTCCGTAAAATCTACCTTAAATAGGGGTATCCGGTTCTGGATTGGCCATCTTCGACCTCAGTTTTACGTGAAAAATTCGCGATTTTTTTGGTTCCCCATCTTAGCTTATTTTCCACCCCTACCCCCCCACCCCCCGCTTCCAAAGTGCTAGTTCTCCACCTGTCTGAGCAGGGTTGCAGGCTTCGGGGAACCCCCTGCTCTCCAGTCATAGGTTGAAGCGGTGGCCGCCCTGGGCGTTAGCTGCCAGGGACAAGAACGCTGTCCCCAGTTCTGAGCTGCGCCCTCCTTCCGGACGGACCAGGGTCACTGCAGGCCGCGCGAGGGCTTCGAGGAGAGGGGGGCTCATGCACCGGGGCCGACAGAGGCCCGAGGAGGGGGCCTTGGGGAAGCTTTGCTTGTAGCTGCAGCCGTCGCGAGTGCAGCCTCCGCACTGCCTCTTTGATGAGGTTTCCCGAGAGCACGAGCTGCTGCAGGAGCCGGTGCGGATCGTCGTCGCCGGCGCGGGTTTCAGGCTGGGATCCGCGTCGCGGCTGCGGGCGGCGGGACGCGGCAGCATTGCGGAGCCATCCTCGCCGGCACGGGCCGGACAGCGGCTGAGAGATGCCTTGCTTGCCAGCTCCCGGAGGCCCATCGAGGCCGGGAGGAGGCGGCAGTGGGGACAGCGCAGTGGGGCCTGCAGCAAGCTCTGCCACGCAGTAGGGCGCAGCTCGGCCGCGGACCCAGCCGCGGTCCCCGAGCGCACAGCGCAGGGCCCCCGGGGGCGCCGGGCTCCCCACCTCGGCCGACACGGGCGGCAGCCTCAGAGACACCGCCGGGGGTCGCGGGGGCTGCAGCGGCGGCCCCGGGGGCACACGCGGGGAGGCGGGGCTGTCGCGCGCCGCGTCCAGCTGCAGCGTCTCGCCGATCTGGGCCACCAGCCGGTCCACCTCTCCCGAGCCGCCCAGCGTCACCGACTGCTCCAGCAGAAGGAAGCTGCCCTCCTCCTCCTCCCCCTCCGCTTCCTCGCCTGCTTCCTCTTCCTCCTCCCTCCGGCACGGCATGGCCCCCTGGCCCGGGCACCTGGGACCCTGGCGCGCGACGGTGGCGGCCTGGCTGCCCGCGAGTCGGGCGGACCGTGGCGGAGGTGGCAGGCGGGCCGGATCCGGGGCCGGCGCCAGGGACGCGGGAGCCGGGGCGGAGAGTACTCGCACGGCGCGCCTGCAGCCGGGTTGCCGGAATCCTGCCGGCTCGGGTAGATTTGTAAACAATGGGTGACGTCGCGCGGGCCGTTCCACCGGTCTGGGCCGGGGGATGCTGTGCCCTTGAGGGGCGGGGCTCCTGCAAAGCTAGAGTCGGGAATGAGCTGGCTGCTTCTGAGCTGCCAGTGTAAGTAGACCTGCTGTTCCCGGTGGGCGTACGGAGGAGCTAATCCCGGCTCTCTCAGACCAGCGCGATTGGCATTCCGGAAGATGCACACCCCGGTGGACTCCGTTGGTTTCTTCCACACACAGGCTAGACACACACACTCCCACCTACCCTTCCTCTGCTCACATCTACTTGTCTGGTTTTAGAATTTGCTTTTGAGGTCAGGGTTCCAGCATGAGGCGATGGTAGAAAGGAGAGGGAGTCAGGCTGAGAGTCTGCTGACAGGGATGGAAAGGAAGAAGAGGACTCTGTCGTGCGGTGAGGATGGCCGAGTTGGAAATGGCAACGAAAGGCCACAGATGACTGTTTCTTGATTGGAAGCCGGGGCAGGAGACGGCCGGCCGGAACTGGGAATGGCATTACTGCACCGGTTGCTGGTCTTGGGAAGGGCTGTGAGCTGGAAAGTTTTTAAAGAATGCCTCAGCCCAATAGGAGAAGGTCCCCTCCGAGGGGTTAGTGTGAGAAGAAAACTATGCCATGACTACTTTTAACCCTTCAAGATACCTCTATTGAGGGCCAGGGATTTAGCTCAGTGGTTCTGCTTCCTGCCTCGCAAGCAGAAGGACCCAAGTTCAATCCCTGGTACCAAAAAAAAAAAAAAAAAAGAATTGAAGATACCCCTATTGATTTAATGGTTAACCAAGACTTCGCTTTTTATGTTTAGTTATTTATTTATTTTTGGGTGTTTTGAGACAGAGTCTCATCATGTAGTTCAGGCTGGTCTCGAACTCGCGTTGACCCTCTTGCCTTTGCCTCCCGAGTGCTGGGATTACAGGCGTGTGCCACCCCACTCTATTTATTCATTTTTATCCTATTAATTTTTTTTGTGGTGTGGTGCCAGGAACCAAACCAGGGGCTCCTGTGGGATGGACAAGTGTTCTACTACTTAGGGTCTCCCTAAATTGCCCAGAATGGTTTTGGATTTATGATCCTCTTTCTGCCCTCCACAGAAATTGGGATTGCAAAGATGTGCCGCTGGGCTAGGCTTTAATACTGCATTTTCATTAAAAGGAAAGGGGGCAGAAAATGATCCTTTAATGTCCAGATACATTGGAGCCTTTCTTCATTCAAAATCCTCCCTGCCTCGAAAGAGCAAGGACCTAAATTCAATCCCCGGTTAAAAAAAAAAAAAAAGAAAAAGAAAAAAAAATCCAAAGCCCAACAGGCATAATTTCCAAAGGCTATCTATACTTTGTTTAATTTTTTTTTTTTTGGTACCAGGGGTCAAACTCGGGTGCTTGTGCTTGCGAGACAGGTGGCGGAACCACTGTGCTAAATCCCCAGCCCCTATCTATACTTGTGGATAGACTTTTGGTGGATCATTTTAAACCAACGAGGGATTCAACAGGATGTTGAACAACTGTAGTCACAGCTACTCTGGAGGCTATTTGAGCCTAGGTGTTCATGGCTGGCCTGGCCAATAGAAATGTCAACTCGAAAAATACAAGATAATAAAAGCCAACTAGGGGAGAGATATTATCAGAGTGATGGAGACACCATATTTACTAAAAATCGTTGAATGTATATACATGAATTAATTTTTTGATATATAAATTATACATTGATAAAATCATTTTAGGGCTAGAGATGTAGTTTAGTGGTAAATTGCTTGTCAGGCACATGTGAGGTTTGGATTCTATCCACAGAATTATAACAATAATAATGATAATAATTGCAAAGTTTTTTTTTAAGTTAAGGATGAAAATAATTAGTAGCAGCTTAGAATTTGTTCTTTTATTCTTTGGCTCAAAATTGTGAGCTGCATACATTGCTGTATACATGAAAAATGAAAAAATGATACAGCTGCTTTGGAAAAAGTTCTTACTAAGTTGCCCAGGCTGACCTTAAACTTGTGATCCTCTTGCCTCAGCCTCCTGAGTAGCTGGGGTTACAGGCATGTACCTCTGTGCCTGACTGATGCTAGCAGCTTTATTAAAAAAAAGCCAAAAGCTGGAAACAGCCCAAGTGTCATCAACAAGTGGATGCATAAACAACCTAAGGTACCTTCATGCCACGATGATGACAATACAATTCAGGAACAAAAAATCTTGAATATTGCTATACTTAGAATTGTGAGTGAAGCCCAAAAAGAAAATGCTAAGTGAAAGAAACCAGAGAAAAGAGAATATACCATATGATTCTGTTTATATAAAATTCTAGAACAGACAAGTAATTTACAGTGGGGAAAATAATCAGACTGATTGACTTTGGAGAGAGCGGGGCAAGGTCCAGCTGACTCTTGGAGACAGGAGGGAGAATTAGGTGATGGTGGTGATATTCTATATCTCCATATCTTGATGTGGGTTTCACAGTTATACACATGTTAAAACACATCAAATGACATGTTTTAGAATTCACTGTTAATTTTACATGAAAAGTAAAAACTGTAAAATATAGAATTCCACTTCATAACAGGCATTGGAGATGAGCTTACAGATGAGATGTACTGATGCTTGCAGTTTACTCTGAAATACACAAAAATGTGAGATGGAGTAATAATATAGACAGAAGGATGGTGAGACAGGTAGATAGGTGGTAAAAAAATGTGAAGTAAAATGTTGATCTATAATATGACCCATCAATTCCACTCCTACGTGTTTCCCTGGTAGAATTAAAAACATGTTCACACAAAAACTTGTATACAAATGCTTACAGCAGCATTATTCTAGTGCCTAAAAATAGAAACAACCCAAATGTCCATCAGCTGATGAATAGATGAATAAAATGTTATATACTCATGCAATGTATTATTATCCACCATAAAAAGGAAGGAAGTTTTAATATGTGGTTCAATATGGATAAACTTGGAAACAAAGGAAGTCAGCCATAAATGGCAACATATGATTTCATTTATATGAAATGTGGAGAATAGACAAATCCATAGAGACAGAAAGTACATTAGTGGTTGCCAGGGGATGGGAGGAGAAGGGAATTAGTTGAGAACTAATTAGAAGGGAAGCGTTAATGGGTATGGGTTTTCTTTTTAGGGTGATAAAAATATTCTGGAAGTAGTGGTAATGTTTGAACAATATAATGAATATACTAAAAACCATTTAAGTGTACATTTTAAAATAATGAGTTTTATGTTATAAAAAGTATCTTTCAACTTTTAAAGTCCTAAGAAGTCTAATGATAGAATTTAGGTGGCAACAGGTTGTTCATTGTTACATTTTTTTGATTTTTGTTGTTGTTGTTGCTTTTTGAGGCAGGGTCTCGCTATGTAGTTCAGGCTAGCCTTGAACTCACTGCGATCCTCCTGGCTCAGCCTCCTGAGTACTTGATTTTCTTGACTGCTAAAATTTTCACAATGAATAATTCCAGCACTTGGGTGGCTGAGGCAAGAGAATCTCAGGAGTTCGAGGCCAGTCTGGGCTACACAGTGAGTTCAAGGCCAGCCTAAACTACATAGTGAGACTCTATCCCCAAAAAACCAAAATGATTTTTGCAATGAAATATTAGGATCATTATGGTTCAAAAAAGGGGGGTATTAATTTAGTGACATCCTTTAATGCTGGCCAGGGCAGAAAGGGCTCTGACCAGCCATTTAGAAGGAAGGGAGAGGAAGAGGGGGAATGTGTCCACCTGATGCAAAGATGGCAGGTACCCAGCAGGGAACATGTGTGGCCTCACACTCTAGCAAGGGTGTATTAGCATTTGCTGCAGATTGACTCTGTTCTTCCTCACAATGGAAGATTTCACACTGTATGGTGTCACTGCTGCTGCACTCTGCAAAGCTAGCCACAGTGCTGAGTGCGGAGCCTGGGAATCAACAAGGCAGACTCGGTCATTTTTTTCTGCCAGTTGGTTTCCCAGACACTGAGGTGCTGGAACTGGGCTGTTTGAGGAGTAGGGATTTGTACTGAGAGAATTTAAGAGATGAGGGGATTCCATCTGAGATGCTTTAAACACTTCTTAGTAGAGCAGGTAAGGAAGGGGTGGAAGGCAGAAGATAGAATGTCTGGAAGTTACTCACTGGCCTGGGTCAAGGAGATGCTAGAGCAGTTGGATCTAGAACCCAGCAATTAAAATGACCAGATGGCTTTGGTACTGACATCAATGCAGGAGTGTGGAATATTTTGCTGTTTATAGAAGGAGAAAGGACTAAAGGTTGAGAATGCAGTTCAGGGGATCCAGCCCAAGGCGGGAGATTTTGTATACAGTTGAATAGCTCCCCACTTCCCCCAGTTCCTATCAACAGGGAACCTGTAAATGTGACCACTATTAGGAAATAGGATCTTTGCAGAGGTAATCAAATTGAGGTCATGCTGGATAAGGATGGGCCTTAATGGTATGCTTGTAAAACAAGGAAAATTTGGACCCAGAGGCACATAAGGAGAACACTGAGAACACCATGTGGTGACAGAGGCAGAGACTGGATTTATGGTACAGCAAACCAAGAACACAGAAGACAAAGAAAAAGAAGCAAGTTGTCCTTTTTTTTTTTTCCTGTTACAGCTCAGGCTGGCAGGATTGAGAGCCTCTGTGATGGAGGTGGAGTCAGGCTAGGCATAGCCAGTTTGCTCTTAGAACGGGAATCAAGAATGAAGAGATGGCTGGGTGTGGTCGTGCATGCCTATAATCCCAATACTTGGGAGGTCGAGGCAGGAAGATCATCGAGAATTTGAGGCCAGCCTGAGCTACATAATGAGTTCAAGGTTAGCCTGAACTACATAGTGAGACCCTGTCTCAAAAAAAAAGAAAACAAAACAACCAAAAAAAAAAAAAATGA